TGCAGTGCCGCCACGCCGACTCCTTCGAGGAGTGGGCACAGAGGCACCCCGAGGAGCCGCCCTGCCGCCGCCGCCCCTTCTTCACCCTGCAGCAGATCGAGGAGCTGAAGCAGCAGCACAGCCAGGTGCAGGCACCGGCTGAGCCAGAGGCCAGCTCACCGGTGAGTGCCATGCCTAGTCCCAGCTCCTGGTGCTCGCTGCCCACTGTGCTGTCAGCACTCTCTCTCACACAGGCACCTCTTGGCCCCATCACTTGTCACATGGTCCAGGCTGTTACAGGTGCAGAGCCCTCTGTTCTCTCTCAAGGTTCCCTGGAAGGGGCCACCATCATCTATGAACAAGGTAGGTGAGCATTCGGGAAGGGGGTGGGATGAGGAGATGAGGAAGGAGGTAGGTGAGCTCCTGCCTGACCCTTCCTATCTGACCCCCCAGATGTGGCTGGATCAGCAGAGCTGGCCACACAGACAGCCCTGGATCTGCTGCTGAACATGAGCACCCAGCGGGAGCTGGCTACCAGCTCGCTGCAGGTGGGCAGAGTCAAGGGGAGCTGGGCCTGCTGGGGGCTGGCACAAGGAGGCTTCCCAGCCCTGTTCTGCTGCAGGGGTGTCTTGCAGAGCCTTGCCCCCTTGGCTGAGCTGCTCTATTGTACAGGTGGCAGTGGTGAAGCCAGATGACCCAGGAGAAACACCAGGCCCCTGTGAGCTGCAGGCACAGGAGGAGGAGGAGGAGGCAAAGGTGGACTGTAAGGAGCAGCAGCAAAAGTTGGTGATGCTGCACATGGCAGAGCCTGGGCAGACACTTGTGCAGGAGGCTTATGGGGAAGCAAGCCTGAGTGGCTCGGAGCTGCAGCAGATCACCATCCCCTTCAGTGGAACAGCAGAGTACAGCATCATCGCACCCATCAGCGAGGAGATCCAGGCTCCTGGCACACTGTACAGGTCAGCTGTATGGGAGGAGTGGGGAGGGGGAGGCACTTCTGGCCTCCAGCTGGGAGGCTTTAGTGATGAGGAAGAGGAGGAGGCAGATCGTCCCTGACCTGGTGCTCTCCAGCAGTGAGGAGGAGAGTCCTGTGGAGACCTCCCACACAGTTGTGGTGAGCGGAGCTGTGATGACAGAGGAGGCACTGAAGGACCATAGCAATCACTACATCATGTCATCCAGTGTCCCAGAGAGCCAGTTCCAGACCATGGAGGTAAGGATCTGAGCCTTCTCCCCATCCCAAGCAGCAGTGGGAGCAGATGTGACTGGTGTTTCTCTCACAGCCCCTCAGCGGGGATGCTGCCTTTTCCTCACCTGCGGAGGGCCAAGAGGCAGAGCCCGCCGGCATCAAGTGGCCCGTGGTGCAGTGTGTCACCAGTCTGTTCCAGAAGGACTCGTCTTTATCCCCAGCATCCGAGGGGCAGGAAGTGTCATCCCCAAAGATCAAGTGGCCTGCACTCCAAGGCATGGCCAAGAAGCTCACATGCAAGGTTTCCACAGCCAAGAAGCTCTCATGCAAGATTTCCACGGCCAAAAAGTTTTCATGCAAGATTTGCACAGCCATGTTCACAGGGAGAGCGGAGATGGAGAGTCACAAGAGAGCCCACATTGGGCCCAGCACTTTCAAGTGTCCCGACTGTCCCTTCACTGCCACACTCTGGCCAGAGGTCCGGGTAAGTTTCCTGGTGCAGAGCAGCCCTGGGAACAAGGGCTTTGGAGAAATGGGAGTTTCTGACCCAGCACTTGTCCTTGTGCCCCAGAGCCACATGGTTCAACATGCCAACCTCCGGCCACACAAGTGCCCCCACTGCAGCTTTGCCTCCAAGAACAAGAAGGACCTGCGCAGGCACATGCTGACCCACACCAATGAGAAGCCCTTCGCCTGCCAGGTCTGTGGGCAGAGGTGAGTGGTGGAGCTGGGCTGATCCTGCTTTGAGGGATCCCACACAGCTCTACAAGGCTCAAGAGGAGGTAGAATCTTGGCAGAGCTGTCTGCCCCAAACCTTCCCCAGCATCGGCCCATTAGAGGGGACAGTGGCCTTGGGAATGGTTCCTGCTGCAGGTGGACCCAACTTTGTCTCCAAGGTACCTCTACATAGGAGGATTCAATCCCTGGGACTGCTGGGAACATGCTGGGAGAGGGGACAGACCATGTTGTAGGATGTGCTGATGGGGCTCATGTTCTGCTGAGAGCACAGGATCCTGTGCTGCCTGTGGCACACTCCACCTCACTCTGCCTCTCCATAGGTTCAACCGTAATGGGCACCTCAAGTTCCACACACAGCGTTTGCACAGCTCAGAGGGCAAAAGGCCAGGGCCAGCTGCTGCCCAGCAGACCATCATCCTGAACAGCAACGAGGACACCCTGGCCACCCTACACAGTAAGACATGTCCCCGGGACCAGGGCTGACCTGTGGGTGTCCTACATCCGGAGCCCCGTGCAGGGTGTCCTACATCTGGAGCCCCACCTTGTGGGTCAGGTGGGGCTGAAGGGCCAGGAGGACCCTCCTGCAGTTGGAATTACTGATGGAGACAAGAGACCAAGGGGCTGGGCCCAGGCAACTGTTCAGAATGAGGGGGGCCTTTGTTCCCTCCAGACAGGTCCTGGTAGATCAGTACATGTGGGAGCAGCTCACACTGGAAGCAGAGTTGAGGTTCTGATATGGAGGGTGAGCAGAGCCCAGAGACTGCCTCGTACTTTTCACTGGGGCAGGTGTCAGGCACTGGGGAGCGAGCCATTGGTAGCCCTGGCAGTGTCCCCAGCAGCATCCCCACTCTCTCTGTGTTGCAGCAGCTCTGCAGGCTGGCCAGGCCGTGCTGGCTCCCGAGCGGCTGCAGCAGGCTCTGGGGCAGGAGCACATCCTTGTTGCACAGGAGCAGAGCGTCACCAGCCAGGTGAGTTGGGTCCCTTGGCCTCAGCTCATGTCCTGTGTGGCTGCTCCTCACAGTGGGGACCTCCTGGGGGGCTGTGGTCAGGCCCAGCCCCCCTGACCACACTGGGAACTTGCTGACGTTGCAGGAGGAGGCAGCCTACATCCAGGAGATCACGACTGCGGACGGACAGACAGTACAGCACTTAGTGACTGCTGACAACCAGGTGAGGGGACATGGCCCACGGATGGGAGACTGTCTAGTGGGAAGAGCTGGCAGCAGCGGGGGAGGGCAGGGCTCCACAGGGAGAGCTGAAGGCACTGGGGTGGTAGAAACAGGCACAGGAGACAGACCAGATACAGCTGTTGTGATGGGGATGGGGAGTGGTGACCTTTTTCTGCGTCTGAATTCCCATGTTTGCAGGTTCAGTACATTATTGCCCAGGAAGGTGTCCCACACTTGCTTCCCCAAGAGTATGTTGTTGTCCCGGAGGGACATCACATCCAGGTGAGCTTCAGACTATCTGCTTCCATCACATGGTGGGTGGGGCTCATGGGCTGTCGTGTGAGGCTGGGCCCCCTCCTGCTCCCTCTTGCTTACTCTGGGTCACAGCATTGCTGGAGGCCTGGACACCCACAGACCCCACCACAGCCTCACTGTTTGTCCCCAGGTACAGGATGGTCAGATCACCCACATCCAGTATGAGCAGGGTGGCCAGTTCCTCCCAGAGTCGCAGGTAAGGAGCCAGGCATGGTGGCAGGAGCTGGAGGGTGGGTCTGAGCCTGCAGTTGGAGAGGGATATGTGAAATAGAGGGAGTTCCTGAGCTGGTGCCTGAGTGCAGCAGCCATGGCTGGAGCAGCTCCAGGAGGAGCCCTCCCCTCAGGCATTCCCTGTTTTCCCCTCTGTAGATCCAGTACATGCCTGTGTCACCAGAGCAGCAGCTCGTCACCCAGGCACAGCTGGAAGCAGCAGCACACTCGGCTGTCTCAGGTAGTAGCACAGCCCTGTGTCAGAAGGGCCTGTCCTCCCAGACTGGGGTGCCAGTCCTGTTGTTGGGGTTGGCAGCAAGCTGTGCAGCAGTCCTTGGTGGGAGGGCTGGAAAGATCAGGCTTGATCACTGTTTTGTTGCCAGCCATGGTGTCCAAGGGCAGATACTTGCTGGTCCCTGCCTGTCAGTTGTGGAACAGGGTTAAGCAGAGCTGTGCTCCCCGCTGGAGCCCCACATGGGCAGGGTGGCCTTTTGTCCCTTCCTGGGGACAGGTGAGGAACATGGAGGGGAGCCCTGAGTCGGCAGTGGCTCCCCCTGCCCTCGGTCAGAGGCAGCACTGACCTCTCCCCTGCAGCAGTGGCGGATGCGGCCATGGCCCAGGCCCAGGGCGTCTTCACCGCCGAGGCAGCAGCCGAGCAGATGCAGCAGCTGCAGCCGGGCATCCACTACGATGTCATCACGCTGTCGGACTAGCACCAGCCTGCGCTGCGCCAGCGGCCGCACGGGCAGCAGCCGCCCCAGCCAGCAGTTGCCTTATTGTGCCGGGGCTGCGAGGGACGCACCTGAGCCGTGGTGGCACAGACACAGCCAGGGACACGCTGCCGCTCAGCCCTGTGCCGTGGGGGTCCTGCACCTCCCCCCAGAGACTGCTCAGCAGCCACAGGGGCAGCCCTTGTGTGGACGGTCTCTTTGCCTGTTGCACTTGATGGTCTGAAATCCCTTTCCTGAACGGTCTGCGTGGGCAGCCATGGATCGGCGTCTGCCCAGCACATGAGGATCCTGGGGAAGCCATGGGGCTGGGCACAACTGTGTGGTGCAGTGTCAGAGATGAGGTGTGTGCAGCCACAGCTGCTGCTCCCCACAGCCATGGGGCCAGTGGTCCTAGTGTGCCAGCAGCCAGCCCTCCTGCGGTATCTCCAGCCTGCGGGCAGGCAGCAGCAGGGCTCTGGACTGGAGGAACCCAAGGAGAAGGAGGCAGAAGATGCTCTATTTTTCTTCTGAAGAGGAATGGACTCTCATGTTAATCCGCTGGTGGTTGTTGGAGGGTTCAGCTGTGACATTCTCAAGCTTTGACTATGCTTATGAATAAAAAGGGATGGAGACCTGTGTGTGTGCCTGCTTGGGGTCCAGGGGACAGGGATGCCACAGCCCAGCCTGAGCATGGCCCTGGAGCTGAGGCCTCAGGAGCCCAGCAGTGTGCTGGCCGACGCCCTGGGCTATCAGCTGCCTCCCGCCCGAGTGACCTTGACTCCTGAGAAGCGAGCCAGGCAGCTGGGACAGCGGTGGGCTGGGGGCTGGAGTCATGAAATTAATCGAGTGGTAAACAGCCTAAATCCCGTGTAACTCTGTCCCGAGCCACACACCGCCCTCCTGAGCGGCTTGTCTGGGCCTATTTACATGCGATTATAACAGCTAATCGCAGAGTTTTAGTTCTCTGCTCCTGCATTAAACTGATTATCCACAGAAGGGAAAAAGGCCGGGAACCACCGTGGCTCGGTGAGAGCCTCTGAAACCTGAGCCCACGGGGGCGGGCTGATCCCTGCGGGGCTCTCCCTGCCCTCCTCCCTGCAGGGTACGGCGATGGCACCGGCGCCGCTGTGGGACGACCCCCGACCACCAGGGCAGTGAGCTGCGGGTGGCCCTCACCTTCCCCGAGGTGGCTGCGCCGATGTGGCTGTCTCAGCTGTGGCTCTGTCCCGCTGCCTTCACCCCAGCCTTGCCTGTGCGCGGTGGCGCTGCTGTGTGGCTGTGCCTGCCGGGCTGCGGTTCGCTCGGGTCCAGCTGTGTCCGCCTGCTGTGCCGGCTGCTGGCCGTGGCCCTCCCTCTCCAGCTGTGCTGTGCAGGGTCCGGGTGCTGCGCGCAATCCGCAGGCGCTTTCCTAGATTACAGCCCCATTATCTAATCAAGCAGATCCACGGTGCTGATTAGGGCTGGACGAGTCCCATGGGGACAAGGTTATGGGGCCACCGCGAGGCCACAGCCAGGGCTGGTCCCAGCCAGCAGCACCAGTGTCCTGGCTGGCTTGGGACTTCCTCACCTGTGGCTGCCCAGAGCACACCATCAGCCCACTGTGGGACAGATGGGCCCAGAGCTCTGGCTGCTGTGTGTTGGGAGCTCCAGGTGCTGCTCGGGCTCTGGCCATGGGGTAAGTGTGGGGGCATGGCACCTCTGGGTGCTGGCACCTCAGCCCTGGGACCTTCTGCTGTCACCCGGGCCTGCAGAGATCCAGGGATGTGGCCGGGCTCATTAGCACCGGTGACCTTCGCCTTCCCGTCCTGGCCAGCGCTAAGCGGGTTTGTTACATATTTAATATCCTGAGAGCGTTATTAGTCGGTATTTAATGACGGATACAACCTGTGGGATAATCCCAGTCTTAGTGGGGAGGCGTGGTGGCAGGAGCAGGTGGCTCAGGGGGTCGCAGGCTCTCGGGGCCCCTCACACAGCTGCCCACCACTGCCCTGCCCACCCAATGCCCTGCTGTGCCAACCACAGGAACCCCCCAGTGCCTTGCAGGGGTCCCCGCTGTCCGTGGGGCTGCAGGACCCTTCCCCTTCGTCACTCTGCTGCTGGGAATCCAGAGGCAGGCATGGCAGTGCTGGGGCTTGGGTGAGGACCTGGCCAAGCCAGAGGACGAGCAGGATGGGGCAGCATGGGTTTCTATCACCCCACCAGGCTAACATTCCTCCATCAGCCCCTGGCCCTCCAACCTTCCACAGCATAGGGGGCTCTGCCACCCACAGCCCCAAGTCAGGTCTGGGGTCATGGATGGGACACAGCTCAGCACTGCAGTAAAGCCCCAGCTGGGCTGTGTGCTTGTGGTTTGGGTGTCCGTGGGACTCCATGTACCGGCCCCAGGGTGCCATTGTACCCCACCCCTGGGAGCTGTGTAGGCTGTGCTGAGCTCCGGGGGCTGGGAGGGAGCAGGGCTCTGGCTGGTGGCAGGCAGGCAAGGACGGTCCCTGCAAGTCCCTGCCCAACAGTAGCTGGGGAAGGGGGGGTTTCAGGTGCCCCAGATCCTGCTGCTGCTCTCGTGGGTGCTAATACCCCCTAATCAGCTGTCAGTCACTGCAGACCCCAGCAGCTATAAAAGACCCGGGAGCAGCTCCCCGGCTCCTCTCCTGCAGTATGGCAGCACCTCGTGGCGAGAGGAGCCCAGGACAAGAGCTGGGGGGCTGCGGGGGGCCTTGGGGGACCCTGCGGGGGCCACCCCAAGCCCTCCTGCCCTGCCCCTGCCCCTACTCCTGCCCCTGTCCCGTTTTGGCCGGGTACAGCCTCCTGCCACCCCCTCTCAGCCTCGTGACGCCCCTGGTAAGTGCCGCGCTGCAGCTCCGGGGGAGGAACGGGATGCGGGGCTTTCCCGGGACCGGGATGGGACTGTGTGGGGTGGTTGGAATCGGGGCTGGGGACCTGCTATCCGAAGCCCCCGCCCCTCCCCGGCATTCTCCTGCCCGCACACACATCCCGTCCTGCACTTGGCACTTGGGGTGCGCATGGGAGAGGAAAACGACGGGCAGGATACAGCTCTGCCCTCTCCCACACACAAAGGGCCGAGCCCTGACATCCTACAGCCCCTCTCCTCCGGCTGTCATGCCCCCGGTCCCACCCTGACACCCTTCTGCCCCTCCAGGTCTCAGCCCCCTATGAGGTGCCGCTGGGGCTGCCCCCAGAGCCCGCGCGGGTGAAGGCGGCGGCGACACGAGAGAGCACCGGGGCACTGAAGGCTTGGCTGGCACGACACCCCAGGAACCCCTATCCCAGCAAGGGGGAGAAGGTGATGCTGGCTGTGGTCAGCCGGATGAGCCTCACCCAGGTCTCCACCTGGTTCGCCAATGCCCGCCGGCGCCTCAAGAAGGAGAAAAAGGCGAGCTGGGCCACACACAGCGCCTCAGATGGCGAGGACAGCGAGGGCGAGGGGGTCCCGTCGGGTGCTGTCCCCATTCCCAGTTCCAGCCCCGTGCAGGATGGGTGTGGGGGCAGCCCCGAGGTGACAACAGGCCCTGGGCAGGACAAGCAACCGCAGAAACCCAAGATCTGGAGTGTGGCCGAGATGCTGGAATCTTCCCCCAGCAAGAACAGGTGTCTCCCGGGGGTGCCAGTGGTGCTGGAGCAGGTATAGGGCTGGGACAGTCACGTCCTGTCCCCAAGGGCATGACAGGAGCGACAGCCATGGGACCCAGCAACTGCCTCACCAAGGAGAGTGGGAGGGACACAAAACAGTAATAAATGTGACTCTGTCTTGGGTCTCCTGGTGTGCCTGTGTGTGGTGGGGATGCTGGTGGGGATGCTGGGGGGGATGCAGGGGTGCCAGCAGAGATGGTAGGGTAATTTCACTGCCAGTACTGCAGAGAGGAGCCCGTGTGGAGCAGGGCAGGTCCAAGGCAGAGATTAAAAATAGACTTAGCTCTTCTTAATAAAAGTAATAAAATGGTTAGCAGTATTAAATTAATCCTTACAAAACAAAACCCAAGGAGGTTAAATAGAGACTGGAGGCTGTGACAAAAAAAAAAAAAAAAAAACAACAAAAAAAACAAAAAAAAAACCCACAATGACTACAAAATAGCTGCAAAGACATCTTTACACACCAAAGAAACTCCTCCACTCCTCCCCTCTGGGACACAATGTCAGCGAACACGAGACTCACACATGAGAAAGAAACACAGATGCAATGGGAGCAGCCCCACGAGGAGCGTGGGCGCCACAGACAGAACTATTTACACTATGGACACGGAGCCGTGCTGGGCCAGTCCGGCCGCAGGAGCCCCCGGGCTCTGCCCGTCCCTCTCCTGCCGGGGCCCCTCCGGCCGCTCAGCGCCCAGCACTCGCGCTTCCTCTGCTGGCATCAGTGTCCTGGCTCCTGCTCTTTGTCTGCTGTGGAGGAGGACAAGAGCTGAGGTCTGGCCCAAATGCTTGTAGGCTGCAACGAGCTCCTGCAGCTGCTGCAGCCAGTGTGAGCACCCACATGGAAAAGACAGTGCTGTTCTGCATGGGAAGGCACCGGGCACTGAGCTTCTCCCCCTGGTCCAGGCTGAGCATGCTGTGGGTCAGAGGACATGTGTACCTCAAGGGACAATGCCCCAAGGAACCCAAATCCTGCCTGGCTCAGGCACAGGGGTTGGCTGTGCAGGGTCAGGAGTGGGGGAACCCAAAGACCTCCAGGCACAGGCACTGGCAGAGGCTGTAGACAATGCAGAGAAGGAGGGTGGAGGGCACAAGACTGACCAGGATGATGCCCAGGCTGTGGTGCTCGATGAGCAGGAGGTAGATGCCGAAGGGCAGGGAGCTGAAGTAGAGGAGGCAGAGGACGCCCAGAATGAAGCGGGGGATGGCTTGCCACCCCCAGGAGCGCCACTTCTGCCCGGGGCCGTGGCAGGGCAGCGCACCCAGGCTCGTGGGGCGGTACAGCCGCACCACCTCCAGCCTGCCCAGGCTCTCCGGTGGGGCTACGTCCTCTGGCACCTCCAGGATGGTGACAACCAGGCAGTCGGGGCTGGATGCGGGCTCCAGCACACTGGGGCAAAGGAGTACCTCAGGAGATAGGGGTGGACCCCGTTTCTTGGCCCGTTCACGGCCTGTCAGCAGTGCCAGTGCCTCACCGTCATCCTGCAGCTGCTGCACGTCCCCGCCCGGCACCGGGCTGTGCTGGCGGCAGAAGGGGCAACGGAGCTGGGGGGTTGAAGTGTCCCCCGGGGGAACAATCCTGCGCAGACAGCGGGCACAGAGGCGATGGCCACAGCGGAGCAGCTTGGGCCTGCGGGCACGGGCGTCGAAGCGGCTGTAGCAGATGTGGCACTCCAGCTCGGGGGACGAGGGTGCCACCGGCGGGGACACCAGCTTGCTCTCTGGCTGGGCCATGCTCCTGGTGGGCTGCTGGGGGCTGCCCGGGCTGCAGGGAGGGGGCACCGCTGTCAGCCAGGGCTGGGGGCAGGCCCCGGGCCGCTGCCTCCCAAGCGTGGGGTCCCAGCTCCGCTGCACGCCATGGTCATTGTCCCGGCCAGACCCCGGGGCTCGGCGGGAGACAGGGGCAGTGAGAGCACGGTGGTGGCGACAGCCCCTCCCCGGCCCCGACTCCAACCCCCGCCCGGTGCCACCGGCGCTGGCACTCGCCGTCATCCCGGCCGCTGCTTTGCGGGGAAAAAATCGCTCCCAGGGGCCGGCACCAGCGGAAGGGCAGCTCCCGGACACGTCTTTGGCCCTCACGGCGCGTGTGGGCTCCCTGGGGCCCCGGGATGGCTCCGAACACCGGCTCTGCCGGCGGCGGGGACCCCGCACCCCGCTCCCCGGGCGAGCAGCCCTCGGTCCGTGCTCCCCGCCCCCGCTCCCGGCCCGCACCGCATCCTCTCCCGTACCTGCGCTCCGCAGCTCCCGGCGGGGGCACAGCGGCGGGTCGGTCCCCGCCGCCGGCGGGCTCGGTGGCACCGGTGGGCTCGGCGGCGGCGGGCTCGGGCCCGGCAGCCCCATGGGGGGAGGCGCGGGGCGCTGCCCGCCGCGCTGCGGGGGCGAGCACGGCGCAGGGGCCGCCGGCAGCGCCGCGGCGTTGGCCCGGTAACGGGGAGCGGGGAACGGAGGGGGAGCTCGGACGGGCCGTGCTGGAGCCCTGCGGAGCCTCCTCTTGCAGAACCGGGCCCCGCCGGCTGCTGAGGGGTAGGCGCAGGGGTCGATGCAGGGGGCGGTGCGGGGTTTGCTGCGGGATCGGTGCGGCTCCCGGTACTCCAGGGTTCCCCGCTCACCGTCAGCCCTGAGGCTGCTCCTTCCCGGCGTGGGGCCTGCGGTAGCGGCGCTTGGGGCTCACTATCCCCGGGGGTCGAGTTGGGGGCACTCGCGGGACACAGCACTTGGCAGGTTCAGGCTGTGCACAGCAGGTTGTGTTTCCCAATTACAGGGCGTTTCCAGCAGCCCAGGGGGGCAAAAGCACTCAGTGGTCCCCTCCTTTCCTCCAGACAGGAGAGTGACAGCACTGCCCACCACAGGGACAATGGTAGTGAGGGCCTTTTCATCCAAATCCTCCAGGTTTAGTACAGCCTGATGGAGCTTTTATGAGAGGGCTTCAGCTCCTGGTGTGCCTCATTCCCCAGTCCTGCCCATACCACCCACTGCTCCCAACCCTCCTACAGCTGCCCCTCACATCACAGCCCCTCTCAGACTGACCTAGTCCTGGTTATCTGCCTTTGAAATGCCCCCAGTGTCAACCTTATGTGCCCCGTTGACCATCTCTTGCTCTGTCAGGATAAAGGAGACTCGAGAAGCAGCCCACACCACAGGCTTCTGGCCACTGATGTCACTTACACATCCCTGTGAGACCACAGCCACTGGATACTTAACCAGGTAACTGCCCCTCACCTGGGGGAGCAGGCAGAGGGCTCAGTGTGCACTGACTGACCAAGGGATGGGTTAGGCACACTCCCAGCATCAGCTCATCTCTGCTCACCTGTGCCTCAGGAGCAGGTGGTCTTGGGTCAAAAACAGTGATTAAAGAGGGGAAAAAAGGCTTTACAAACTGCCACATTCACAGCTGACGTTCCCAACTGCCCTGACTTAAAGGACATCAATGATCTTGTCACCATCAAAAGCATCTCTGGAGAGCTTCGAAGCCTCTGGGAGTGGGCAGCATCTGGCGCTGGGCAGTTCCTGCCCACTTCAGGGTGGCACTGTCACTGCTGTGGCACTGGCAGCAGCAGTGCTGTGGCACTGGTCCAGTGCCAGCAGCATTGTGGCATCCCACAGGAGAGGCTGGCTGTGCTGCCTGCCCCGAAGAGTCCAAAGGCACTTCGAGTCGAGTGCACTTCCCTGCACTTCTCCGATGGGAGAGCACCAAAACCTCACTGGAGCAGTGTGGTGGTCAGGCTGCTTCAGGGGCTCACACTGGTCATTAGGAAACGAAACTCACCAGGAGGGCAGGGCTGCCTGGAACAGGGCAGATGCCAGACAGCTCTGAAAAATCAAACCCCAACATTTTTCTGCCTTCCACCCAGGCAGAGACCAGACAGGGGTGAGCACAGACCCCAGACACCAAAGAAGGCAAGTCATGGACACAAGCAGGGCTGTATGCTGGTTTTAATGTTCCTAAGAACTAGGAAACAGAAATCAAAAATAGATTTTGCTCTTCTTGATAAAAGTAATAAAATGGTTAGCGGTGTTAAATTAATCCTTACAAAACAAAACCCAAGAAGGTTAAATAGAGACTGGAGGCTGTGAAAAAAAAAAAAACAAAAAAAAAAAAAAAAAAAAAAAAAAACCCAAAGCCCGGAGGCTCCGCATAAAAACCACAATGACTACAAAACAGCTGCAAAGACATCTTTACACACCAAAGAAACTCTTCTCCTCCACTCCTCCCCTCTGGGACACAATGTCAGCGAACACAGGACTCACACATGAGAAAGAAACACAGATGCAATGGGAGCAGCCCCACGAGGAGCGTGGGCGCCACAGACAGAACTATTTACACTATGGACACGGAGCCGTGCTGGGCCAGTCCGGCCGCAGGAGCCCCCGGGCTCTGCCCGTCCCTCTCCTGCCGGGGCCCCTCCGGCCGCGGCGCTCAGTGCCCAGCACTCGCGCTGGCCATCCATCCCTCCGTCTGTTCCGCCGTCCTTCTGCCTGCCCACGCGCGCGTCCCAGCTCTGGCTGTCCCTTCCCTCGGCGCTCCGGCGTCGCGGAGCTGCCGGCTCCTCCTGCCGCGCCACACTGGGCTCCCTCGCCCCTGCTGAGGGCTGTGGCTGAGCCTCCTCTCCCACTGGCCGCCGGACGCTCCCGGCTCCTGGGGGCTGGCATGCAGTTCGCAGAGGAGAGCAGGTGCCGTGGAGCTGCTGCGCAGGAGTCCCGGGCCGTGCTGCACAGCCAGCAGTCTCTGCTGCCCCGGCCAGCCTCCCCCGGGGCCACCGGCACCTCCCCTGCTGCCTCGCACCTCTGCCTTAGTTGGGATTAGTCTCTCGGCTGCTGCTCTGCTCTCGGCCCAGCTCCCGCTCTTTGTCCGCTGTGGAGGAGGAGGAGGAGGATGAGGACGAGGAGGAGGAAGACGAGGAGCTGAGGGTTCGGCCTGAATGCTTGTAGGCTGCAATGAGCTCCTGCAGTCGCTCCGGCGTGGGCTCCCACTTGGCAAAGCCGGCGCTGTTCTGCAGGAAGAGGACGGCTGTGTTGTGCACAGCCTTGTAGTACATCTCCTCCCTGCAAGGGAAGAGCACAGGCATCAGCACCTCCCCTGGTCCCCGCCTAAAGCCCTCAATACCTGCTCCTCCTCTTCCTGCCTGCACTAGGACAAGTCTTTGTCCCATCCTTTCTCTCATTATTCTGAGTAGAAGGGAGGCACAGTGCAGCCTTGGGAAGTTCTGAGTACAGCAGAGGGTCCTAAGCTTTCCAGGAAGAAAACACTGATGCTGCAGAGTCCCATTGCTCCCTACCAGTACATGCATGTGCTGGAACCTTGCTGTCCCTGCAGAGGGGACTCAGCACAGTGAGGCATCAGTCCTAAGCAGGTAAGAACTTCAGTGTTCAGGCACCTGTTGCTTAAACAAGCTGCTGCTCACACTTGTTGCCTCAGCAGCAGAGCAGAGATCAGCCTGCCCCACTGGGGACCAAACCCCCGCTGCCCCTTGCCTCTGCTCCCCCAGTGATGTCCAGCTGCTGCAGCACAAGCAGCTACCAGGCCTGAGGGCTGGCAGAGGCACAGATCAGTGCCACAGGTGTGACCTGTTCCAGCTGGACTCGTGCCCAAGGCATACACCTCTCACAAGCTAAAGTTAGCAGTCATTAAACAGACGTTGAATTCACCATGCTGTCTGCCCATCCTAAACACCCAAAGTGATGATGTGGTGCACTTGTCCTTGCCTGCTCCCTGCTTCCCACTGATTTCAGCTTGGGAGAGGATATTTCTGTCACACAGCTTCAGAGCTGTGTTCCCAAAGGATCTGAGAACAAAGCCTACTTTTTGCAGACATGCTGGGACCCGCTGCGGTACTCGTGATCGAAGGCCGGCAGGATGAGCTGGTGTCGCTTGAACTTGCTCTGCTCCATGCGCGTCAGGGCTGGCGTGGGGGGGTCCCGCCACTCAGGGATGAAGACAATGAAGGAGAGCGGCTCACTGGAGCTCTCCAGCAGTTTCTAGTGCAAGAAGAAAAGGAACAATCTCAGCACTGACTGAGCAATGACGTGTTTAATGAGTCCTACAGAAAGGAAATGCTTCTGCTTCAAGAGCAGTGCCCAGCTGTCACTGTCCTCTGTCCCTGCCCTCAGGGCACAGGAGTGGTGAGGAGCAGAGGATGGACAGCACAGCTCCATCCCAAACAACCCCACTGTGAGCAGACATACCTCAAAGTGAGAGACCATGGCATCCATCAGCTCCTCACAGAATGGAGGATTTGCCTCAAAAGAACCACTTATAGGGAAGAAATCCAGGCACGGGCTGGAGAAAGAGGCAAAGATCCCCATCAGCTCATCCTGAGTCATCTCACGGGCATGCATCCACACCCACGCAGAGCAAGGGAACGCAATACTCACCCCCTGGATCCAAAATACCCGTCTGTGTCCAAGAAGGCGGAACAGTACTGTTTAAAATAGCAATTCAGGGGCGAGGCAAAGCATTCAAAACTCACTCCAAAGAGCTTGTGGAGGGCTTCAAAGATGTGCACGGGAAGTGCCCCTTGCAGACCAGTCCCTTCATACAGCCCCACACCGAACATCATCTGAGGAGAGCAAACCCTGGTGAGCCGTGCCAGCACTCGCTGCTCCTGCTGTTCCCTTCACTGAGCATGGACCCACGGCCACATGTCCATGCACCCACTCCTCTAGGTATGCAGGGCCCCCTCGTCCTTTCTCAAATTCGTGTTGGTCCCTGCATGTACCCAAGAATGCTCTTTAGAGATTTTATCCAACTCTGACCCCACAAAACCATCAGTTTTCTCTTGTACCCAAGTGACCCTTCAGCTGCCCCTCAGAGTCAAGAGCTACTGAAGGTTTCCTTCACAAACATCTTTACCCACACCAAAGTCTCGTGTCAAGACCACAACTACTCCCCAGTCCACAGTCCTACCTCAGCATAGCATGAGCAGACTACAGACCC